CATTTAAAATTATTTCTGAATTGTACAGTAAGAGGGTAAAAATAGCCTAAATATTGTGGACTTCCATCTTCATGCACTGGATCCTGCTGCCACATAAGCACACACACTATTTTATCTTAGTCCTGTGCTTTCATTATCCAAAATAAAAGTGGGATTGCACTCTAAATGCAATAAAACCATTGCTCAGTATACATTTAAAATTAAAATTATCATTCTTGAATATTATTGATAGGTTACTTTAAAGCTGTAGAATACAAAGCTAGGTTGAGCAGTGTCATTGCTAGTAGATTATCATAGATATACCAACTGCAGAAAATGTTACTGCCCACTTAACTCTGCATTTAGCATGAAAAATAGTTTTAGAGGTGCAAAATGTGGTAATTACTACTATTGTACTGAGGAAACCAGAGAAGAAGTGAGCAATAGGCAGAAAGGGAAAGAGAATTAATAAAACATTGAGCCGTCTACTAGAAGCAAAAACACCACTGTATATTCTCCTACCATTTATGTTAATCTTTGCTTAATGCTATTTTTTTAGTGCATTTTCACATAGCAGTGCAAGTTACATTCATACATCAGGGGACATATTCACTTAGAAACTACTTATACTTCACATAATAATTAACATCTTCTTGTATTAGCTCTTCTTGCCATCTTAATAAATAATGCTAAAATTTCCAAAAATACGAGCCTACCAAATATGCACTAAAAATGTCATGTACAAAAGGTCAATGCACATTATCCAATAACAAGTGAGGGAAAACTTAATACAAAATTCAAACATAAATACTATCCAGTAAATTGTCCCAGAGGATCAGATGCAGTACTGCAAAACAAAAAAATGCATTTGTTCAAAAATAACTACTATACAATGTAATGAGAAATGTAAAACCTAAAATCAGTAATAAATAATACTATAGAGCAAATATAGTTAAATAGCTTGAATAAGAAATAATTTATGTTTATTGATATTAAAATATAATGCAACCTCTGTATCTAAGAGAGGAATGCTGCTAGAGGTTAACTGGTGATGAATTCACAGATATGGATTTTATATTTTAATAGGAGGTTTTATTGCAAACCTGATTACTCAGACATAGTATATTATTCAAATATTTTTTACTGTTTTTAGGCCAACTGTAGTACAAATAGGTCACCTGTTTTTTTTTATATAACACTTGAACACCTCCCACCGAAGTGAAGTGACCCTAAAAAGAGGAAACACTTTTGCCATCACTCATTCAGTCATTGCCTTACCAGAAATGTGATGACATCACAGTAAAGATGGCCATCTAAACTGCATCCCTGCCCCTTTTTTACAGTGCACTGTACTTACCATCTCCAGGACTGAAGTTCTGCTAACCAGTTTCTTTGAGTTCCTTCATAAATGTTACCTTGCTCACAACACATCATGATATTTTAGATCATGTAAAATAGTAAAGCAAATATTTTTTTTATTAACACATCGGCCCAAAAAAGAAAAACTCTCATCATCATTCACTCCATCACTGTCTTGCCAGAGGCACATTTACACTACAGTTATAAAACTACAACATTAACACCCCTCCTTCAGAGTGCAGACACTGTACTTCCCATCTCCAGGAATCAAGTCCAACCTGCTGGTTTCCCTGAATCCCTTCATAAATGTTACCTTGCTTACAATCCAACAGCACTTCAAGTCATAAAAACTATTTGTTTCCATTTGCTCCTATCTAACATGCTCATGCACGCTGCTAGAAGTCCAAGCCTCTCGCACACAATACCTCCTTTACCCCCTCTCTCCAACCTTTCCTAGGCCGACCCCTACCCCACCTTCTCTTCACTGCAGATTTATACACTCTTGAAGGTCATCCTATTTTGTTCTATCCTCTCTACATGTCCAGACCATCTCAATAACTCCTCCTCAGCCCTCTTGATAATAGTTTTAGTAATTCCGCACCTCCACCCAATCTCCAAACTACGGATTCTCTGCATTTTATTTACACCACACATTGCCCTCAGACATGACATCTCCACTGCCTCCAGCCTTCTTGTTACAACATTCACCACCTATGCCTCACACCCATACAGGAGCATTGGTATAACTATACTCTCTTACATTCCCTTCTTTGCTTTCATGGATAAAGTTCTTTGCCTCCACAGACTCCTCAGTACACCACTCACCTTCTTCCCCTCATCAATTGTATGATTCACCTCATCTTTCATAGACCCATCTGCTGACACGTCCACTCTCAGATATCTGGATACATTCACCTCCTCCATACTCTCTCCCTCCAATCTGATATCCAGTCTTCCATTACCTAATTTTTTTGTTATCCTCATCACCTTACTCTTTCCTATATTCACTTTTAATTTCCTTCTTTTACATACCCTACTAAACTCATCAACCAACCTCTGCAACTTCTCTTCAGAATCTCCCAAAAGCACAGTGTCATCAGCATAGAGCAACTGTGACAGCTCCCACTTTGTGTTAGATTCTTTATCTTTTAACCCCCACACC